AGGTTTTCTCTTTGAAACCAAGGGATGTCATCCAAGTTATTATTGCTACGGAGGGAGCTCATTTAGTTCTATAATGTAAACGATGAAATTTCATGCTCGCTAATACTATTTAGAAGTAAAATGCAAAAATGCGCCAATTTCGTGTTCGCGCTAACAGTGTTGCGATGTGTACAGCTAAAATAACATTGATGAAATGATATTTCAATAATGTTATTGTGCTCATTTTTTATTCTATTTGTATTTGAATTCTGTGCCTCTAAAAAGCTTGCTTTTGTTGCTTGCGTGTTCCAGACTGCAGACACCAGAGGCCACATTCATTGACGACTTTCTGAGCTTCCTGGCCGACTGGGAGGAAAAAGCTAAAGACGGAGGCTTCATAAGCAAGGCAACTGCTGAGGGGCTGCGGGTTACGTTGGAGAGCACCAAGGGCATCCTGGCGTACCTTGGACGACACCTGGATTATGATTTCCTCATGACCGCACGCCTTAGCCAGGATTGTATAGAGCGTCTTTTCGGTATTATTCGACAGTCGAATGGAGCAAACGACCATCCAACGCCAACACAGTTTCTTTTAACTGTAAACTGTCTTAGCTTCTATAATCTTGCTAGGTCTCCACCAGGAGGAACAATCAGTGAGGGTGTTCTCAGCTCCCTGCTTGGTCCGTCTGACAATGTCAGTCGTGGAAATGCACTGGATGACCTGCTCGATGAGGGACGCATAGATGAAGTTGAGCAAACCCTCAGCTCGGACCATACAGCCTGCTTTGCGAGGCAGAGTGACTCACGGCTGCTGTACTATGTGGCAGGATATGCAGCACGCAGATGCGTTTTGCGCCTGAAATGTGGCGATTGTAAGGCTTTCTGTTTGACTGATGCAACAAAACAACCGAGAATGCAGAATTTACTAAAGCAGTTAGTCGTGGAGGGCTGCTGTTTGTGTCCGAAAGGATGTTTATGCTGATTGACCACCTGGAGAAGGCTTTCATGAATTGTTTCAACACCAGTAAGCTTCACTCTGAGAGCATTCGTGATGTGCTCAGCTGCGTGAACTCAGGCTCCCCTTCAGTGGGATGTGAAACCCACAAGCATGATTTAACACGGACAGTTATTAAGTTCTACATCGTCACGAGGCTTCACTTCTATGTGAAAGGAGTTAATCACAAAAAAAAGAGAAAAGTGCAAAGGCGAACCTGTCGAAGCAGGGACGGCTCCAGTAGGCTGCGGTTTGACTTATGCAAGCTTGCTTTTTACACCTGTGGGTGCAATACTGGATGATGCGCAATTATATCTCTTCGTAGATATAAGAGTGTGAACGTAGGGCAGTTGATTGGAATGTGCCTCCTTTGAACAAACACACTGCTGCAGGTGAGCAGAAGTGTGGAGTGTAGATATAGCTGCTCAATTTTTCTGTACAAGCTGTTATCTATTCGTATCATTATTGAACATTAGTCTAAGTATATTGTGTGAAATATTACTGCGATTTTTGGAACGCTTTTATTTGCAGAGAAACGTGTTGAAATAACTTCTGTATATTTTTTCATAAAGCAATAACCTCAGGTAGGTGAATAAAGTACCAATTCTGTTGCTTTCTGGCGTTGTGTTTTTCTTACCGTTTATTATGATTTATTTTATCAAATAACATGGCCGTTTTGGAAAACGAACGAACAATTTTTTTCTTTCAATGTGCCGTAAACATCATAGTCTGGCATCTAGTATGGAACCACCACGATAGCTTCGAATGAATGTGCCGAGCCTCATTCGTTCGCTGGGGTGTTCCAGATTCACCCCTTATTAGTCTAGATCACAACCCCCCCCCCCCCCCCCCATTCTTTAGTTGCAGTAAATCGGCCGACGACACCGCTACCATAAATGTCTAATGTTAACGAGTTATTTTACACGGGCTCGAAGCTGAAGTTCTGGAATAATTTGCGGGTTCTTTTCGCGACACTGTGGGATCTCAGTATAGATTCCAATATGTTTGCATTTTACCGGAATTGTTCGCGGGACCTTTTTTTTGCGGAAATTAGGTCCTCGCGAAAATTAAGTCGTGTACAGTACATGTAGTGAAACTCCTGTGGGCGGATCTGGCTATTCCAAGCATGTAAAATATAAATATAATTGTAAGCAGTGAGAGAGTGCAGGCGATAAATTATAATTTCGATTTACACCCAGCAGCGCACAAAACAATACTGCTGGACTTTTGCTGGCAATGCATGCGCTTCGAACACCGATCAAGGCTGCACGCGCGAGAGAACGCCAGAAAAGGTTGCGCTTCGCGTATCGACCGAGCGGTAGTCACCCTTGCGTGGAACCGCTTGAAAGAGGCTAATTCTGTGACCGCTAGATTGGTGTGCCTAACAGTCGGGAATTCTGAATGAACATCAGCAAAACAATTCGAGATACAGCCCTAGATACGGTCCCACTAAAAACGAAACGCGCAACGATGCGCTGAGGCGTCCCCGGCGTCCCGCGTCCCTACGTTGCACAGCGCCACCTACCTCGTCTTCCTCAAACGGCCCGCGCCTCCAGCGGCGCTCCGGACACCAAGTCCTTCTAGCCACCATAGCCAGGGTGCCCACACTTCTCCCCCCCCCCCCCCCCCCCCTCAAGCTTCGTCCGGCATGTCGATGACGGAGACGCTGTGGGCGTCAGGGGGTGGATGGCGCTGTTGGGCGTACTGACGTTGTAAGTCCGGCCGGCTCCTGCTGGACGAGCGCGGCGGCTGCTGACGAGCGCGGCGGCTGCTGACAAGCGCGGCGGCTGCTGACGAGCGCGGCGGCTGCTGACGAGCGTGGCGGCTCGGTCAGCTCCAGCTTGTCACTTGAGCTTGTTCTGGACCAGGCCTCCAGCAGGTGGCTGCTCTGCACGTGGTCCATGGTTCTCTGGGCTGCCCCTGGCTCGCCGACGTCCTTGGTGGCCCGGTCCACCATGAGACCGGCCGCCGTGTCATTCCGATGGCGGCTGTGGTGACGGTGGTGTCCATTAGCCAGCTCCACAGAAAAACAAGGAAGCAGACGACATGGAGCTCAGTTGAGGGTTGAGCCTAACGTTATCTTCGCACCCCTTCCAGAAAGTTTGAAATAACGAATCTGAGGTGGGCACACAATCTTCTCCCCCCTCTCTTGAAACGGGGGCAGATCCGTGGAAGTAGACAACTACCCCCAAAATGCGAGAGAGGCCAAGGAGATAAAAAAAAAAGGGTTCCTCTCTCTTTGGTGTTACCGACGTCGGAGGTTATACCGCCGCCTCGGTGGAGACAAGGGGGTTTCCGGAACGGGACTGCCGTCAGTGTCGTTCCGGTCCTGCGAGAAATCTTCGTCTTCTGCTTGAAAAAATCGTTTAAGGTCGGTGACATGAACAGGTCCGGTTTCCTCGCCAGACTCCCAGTTAACTAGTTTGTAAGTGAGTGGCGAGCACTTTTCACGCACGCGAAACGGACCTTCCCACCTGTTGGCGAGGGAGGCTGCGAAGCCTCGAGCGGCGTCACTCAGTGGGTGAGTACGCCGGAGCACAATATCTCCCACCTCGAACTGCAAGTCACGTCGCCCCCGGTTGTACTGTTCAGCCTGCTGTACCCGGGCGACGTCTAGATTTTCTCTGGCCTCTCGAAGGTTATCGGAGAAACGGTTTCGCAGGTCCTCTGCGAACTTCACGTAGGAGCGAGGCCTTCCTCCAGACTCTGTAGAAAGGAGGCTGTTAGAAAGCGGGAATGCGAGCTCCTTGCCGAAATTTAATTGGGCAGGAGTGAGACCCGCTGACCGATTAGTGGTTGTACGGGTTGCGAATGCCAGCTCGGGCAGTTTCGCGTCCCAGTCCTTGTGGCGCTCGGTGTAGGCCACTAGCATCATCTTAAGGTTTCGATTTACCCTTTCCGTGATGTTTGCTTGCGGGTGGTACGGGGAAGTTCTTTTGTGCTTGATTCCCAGTACTGCGCATGCGTCCACAAACACCTTACTCGTGAGATAGGAGGCATTATCGCTTACAAGCTGTGCAGGAAAGCCAAACCTAGCGAATGTTTCGAGTAGACACTCCCAGATTTTTTGCGAATCTACCTTCCGCAAAGGGAATAACTCGACCCACTTCGTGAAGTGGTCGGTTACCACGAATAAGTACTGATTACCCCGGGTACTACGTGGGAAGGGTCCCATGACGTCACAGCAACAAATCTGCCAAGGGCTCTGACTCGCGATTGGTTGCATGAGACCGGGGGGCTGGCCACCACGTGGTTTTGCCTTCTGGCACACCGAGCAGCTACGAGCGTATCGGAGCACATCCTGCCTCATGCCTGGCCAGGTAGCAATTTGGGATAACTTTTCGTAAGTCTTGCTCCCACTGCTGTGCCCTGCCAAGGCAGAGTCATGCATGTATCGGATGAAAAGCTTACGTAGCTTGCGGGGTATCACGGTCCAGAATGCCGAGCCATCCGGATCGTCGTCGGCCTGGGGGATGTAACGCAGCAGGAGGCCGTCGTCGCTCATCAAGTAGGAGTCGAACTCCTCGTCACTTGGGCGGTCGACTGGACCTCTTGCTGCCAGCCAAGCGGACACGCCCCTATTGAAAATAACCCATCAGCCTTGATGTGTTATGGGACCCTGTTAGACCTTCAAACCCTTTAGACCCGTCAACCCTTTAGACCCGTCAGCCCTTTAGACCCGTCAGCCCTTTAGACCCGTCAACCCTTTAGACCCGTCAACCCTTTAGACCCGTTAACCCTTTAGACCTATCAAACCTTTAGACCCATTAGCCCCTCAGAAATTGAATTCTCTATACTCCGTTTCATAATTAGTGTACAACACTGTCAAGGCAACTGACACGCGCAAATGGCTTCATCAAGTCCAAACGCGTGCACAAAGCTCATGATAAAGTCACATGCTCCTGCCAGTAGCCTCGACAGCATTGCGTACGAAGTATGAAATGGAGTACAGGTGTTCACAAACTTACAGCTTTAAAAAAGCTGCATGGCAGGCCCAGATGGTTGCAAACAATTGACCAAGACAAGATTTCAACGTAGGATGAAAGCAAATTTTTATTTGAATGTTATACACAGAACAAACATTTGTACTTAAGTTGTAGGTCACAGTATACATAAAACGTGATCTATGCATGCTGCAATGGGAAAGCAATATTTAGCACAGTAGAGTTTACTAAAATAATGGATATCACACTGTCCACTTTTTACGATGGCACCATCTCTTTAAAAACCATAAAAAAATAGTTTGTCATTCTGGAATCTCACTAAAAAACAAGTTCACATACAAAGTACAAAACACTAAATTATCCTCAATCAATCAATTATTTCCAATCAATCAATAACAACCAAGCTTTGTTAAAATATTCATGACTGCTTTATCACATAAATTAATTACTATTAAAGGGACACTGAAGTGATTATCACAGAAGTTTGGGCTATTTGGTATACAGATATAATTAAACACAAAACAGTGCAAAGACAAGGACAAAGTGAAAATAGTCACCGACAAGACACAACACTGACTCTCATCTAAAGATTTATGTTAGCATTCAGTACCAATAGCATACATGCAATACCAAATAAATGAAGGAAAAAAATAAATACATATCACGTGTTCAATACAAGATTGTTACTGGTTTGCCCTCCTCGCTCCAAGTATTGCCGCTCTTTATCAGAAAGCACGAGCGACGGGGCGCTAGCACAATCTGGTCCCAGTTTCACGATATCACGAGCTTCTATTATTTCACGCGTGACACTGTCTTTATTTTTAAAAACCACTTGGTATTTGTCGAAGACAGGGACGCAACTGCAATCTCTGCAGTGCACCCCTAGGTGACCCGACACCACTTTAAAATGTTATACTGGTGTTCTCCGAGTCAATCGTTGACACATCTTCCTGTTTGACCAAAATAACGACGCCGCAAGATAATGGAATGGAATAGGCCACTCCCTGACACAAGCCACGAATTGATATTGGTGTTTTTAGTGCACCCAATCTTACTTGTAACATCTGAATTAACATTTCTGCAGAGCCCAGCCGGCTTATTTGGTGCTGTTAATGTCAAAGTTGTGTTCTCAGCACCAAAAGAGCAGCCCGGCTCTGCAGAAAAGTCAATTCAGATGTTAAAAATAAGATTGGATGCACTAAAAAAACACAAAATCAATTTGTAACTTGTGTGCAGGGAGTGGTCTATTCTATTATCTTGTGACCCCTGTTAAGTCGGTCAAACAAGATGTGTCAAATATAACATATTAAAGTTGTGTCGGGTCACCTAGGGGTGCACTCCAGAGATGGCAGTTGCACCGTCTTTGAAAAATACCAAGTGCTTCCTAAAATCAAGACAAGCGAAGTGGTCGACGAAGAGTGCTTGTTACCGAATCGCAAGCGATGCCTTCGCCCACAATGAAAAAGCCTAGTCTTATCCGAACGTGTGCCATAAGACTTTTTTCAAAACAAGTCATAATAAAATTGTTTGGAATCTATACGTATTGTAGGACCTTCATTGATCTAGACCAGGGGTGGCCAAGCTGCGGCTCGCGAGCCGCATGCGGCCCTTCGCGTGTTAAAGTGTGGCTCGCGGCTCCCTTCCCTCCCCGTACCCCCCTCCCACTTTCCCGCCTCTTTTCCGGTCCACCAGCACTTCCCCAAAAAGAGAAATTGAAATCGGTTTAAATTGAAAGACAGGTTGCGGTTTGGTAGTGTTGTGCCACTGCTACCCAACGTACAGTTGGACTGCTTTTGACTCGGATAGATTGAAAATAGTTTGAGTTCCCCCCCCCCTCTCCACCCCGTGGCTCTTGGAAGTTTCGTGGTTTTGTTTGTGGCTCTCAGGCCGGGTCAGCCTGGCCACCCCTGATCTAGACCATGTAGTCCGAGAGAAATATCAGTCCACATGTTCTATTGCCCCAAGAGAAATAAGCAGTTTTGTAATCTAGAAATTAATATGTGTATTAAAACCTTTTAAACAATGTAACATACAAAAAATATTTTTTCTAAAAACCACTTCGGTGCCCCTTTAAGTATATTGATTGCACTCTTCCCTATAATACTGGCAGGCTTTGTTACTTAATTGGCAGGCCGTGTCCACATCACAGCTCCAGCTCTTGTTTGCAAATCACATGTCCCAACCTGTGACCCTGGGTGAACAGATGAAATTAATACAGTGAAAAAGATTGACTATAAAAATATTGCAAAAGGTCCGAGCTCGCACTGAGCACAAACGTCACCACTCGAGATGTGCAGACCTTTTTGAGTCCAAGCCCGACTACTTCTTTCTTCCGAGCAATCACAATAGATTTTTAAAGAAAAAAAAACACTTGTCACTTTTCGATCATTAACACTAATTAAAACAACAGTAGTAGAAACCAGCCAGTTTGCCGGCCATTGTCAGAACCCCAAAATTCCCCCACCCCCTGGGTGCAGCCCTGCTCTGAGGAGTCGTAGCAATACGTCTCGTGGCTCAGACAGAGCAGTACACCATGCCGTCTCAGACCTGGCAGAGCATAGCTTTTACTGCAGATTATTATAGGTGAGGGGAAAAGTATTGAGTATTCAGCACCTGGAAAGTCGGTGATAAGGTCATCAAATAATGAACGAGAAATGGTTTGTGCCAAAACTGGCACTGACTGCGAGCCGATTGGCCACCCAAGAGAGGGACGAAAACAACTTACAAAACCTTGTCACAGCTCAATTTTTTTTATTAGTAGTACTGAATTGCTTCGAAGCAAAGTGCTCACCTGGCATACATTATATTTTTCGCCACTGTATAAGCAAACCTCTCACCTTGAAGGACCCCAGACACCAGCTAGGAGACAAAAACGGGACAACACAACACAGTCTCAAAGGCGAGGTTGTGTTGTCCCGTTTGTCTCCTAGTCTCTGGGGTCCTTCAAGATGATTACCCCCACTCGCCTGCGAGTTAACCCTTATATCAGTATAACCAAACATTGACTTCTCGATAAGTGGCGTTAAAAATTACTTTGTTCATCCTCATGGACAAGTACAAGTGCCCTAGCACCAAGAGTTATAATTGTTTAAACTCGCAGATAACACTGCGAGGTTAACATAATAGGCCTGTTTGATTTGCCTGAACTTGCTGAACTGGTTCAGTCAGGGTAGAAACTGGCGCATTTGATTTCACCGGCAATGCCTGCACAAATCCTGCACTCTCTGAACTGGGACTGAACTGGTGCAGAACGTTCCGGCAAATCAAACAGACCTAATGCAAATCTTGCAGTTCTCTTACCTGCAACGTTACCTTCTCGCGTCCGTGCATTTCTCGCTCAGAAACTTGCGAATTAGCTTTGCGCGTTTGACAGCCTGCTCCATAGGGATACCTTTGTCTGTAAGACGGCTAATGAAGAAGCCTAAAAAGAAAGAATCACATTAAAAGGATGCCAAACCAATATACAACAAAGCTAGTTTGTCCAGGTATGCTTCATGTGCTTTGCAGTTCAAATGGGTAGACACCCATTGTGAAGTGTGACTACTTTCTGTTGCCTGTCACTCCTATCGGTAGCAGTAGGATGCCGTGCATAAGAAAAGAGCACTTTTTTTTTCTTCGGCAAGTTTATATTTTAGATTTTTATAGAACAAGATACACCATTTATGGACACCTTCAAAGAAATTTGTATTGTACTGATAGCATAGGCTTGCTGGGAAAATTAATTGTTTAAAGTGCTCATAAATAATAAGCATAAATGTTACTCACTGCGCAGTACGTCCACCTTCTCTGGTGTTAAAGGGGGGAAGGCCTCCGTGTGCCCCAGGGCCTTTGCCTTGTTCGATAGTCTCCCCGTGGGGCTCTTTCCCTTCAAAATGTCCGCGCCCCAGATTGAGGTGGCTGCCTCTTTGGTAAAACGACTGTCCACCATTAGGCCATGCAAATCCTCCCACTTCTTGCTGGGAATGAGAATATGGCAACCAATGTCAACCTAGAAAAAAAATTACATTTCCAAATGAAACACGTGAAGAAAATATATAGCATGACGGCTTTTTGAGGAGGATTTAAGGGTAAGGTACTGTCTGCACGCAAAGGTGAGCATAAGAAATGCAAGTGTTTTCAAGAAAGCATAGAAAAAGATGATGACAAAAAAAGTAGCACAGCGAGATCTCAGGTGCATGGCCTTGTTGGGCTATATTTACTTTGCTATAGCTAGGATTTCTTGTTTTCGGAGATCATTTTTAGTGAAAATCGAAGGGTGGTTAGAAGATACAATTCAATGAACGAGAGATCCACTAACCCTTTGTCCCGAACGAACCAGGCGATTTAACCCCCTTTTTTTAAATGTCCCAACCTTGAAAGGAAACTAAATTGTCCTCTCTGACCGCTCACCCCATTGCCTGACTAAACCTAAAGTCTCAAACGAACGCAGTGCAGTGCGTTGAGTCCCAGACGAATGGGATATTAGAATGCAGTGCAGATGTCGGCCAAGAAAAGACTGGAAACACCGAACGTTTAAGGTGGAAAGTGTTGGCTGACAGCTGACACATGTATGTACAGTTGGCAGCAAAAGTATGCAGGGCACGGGAGCGCGTGACGTAAGCATCCATACGCCACTGCATTAAAGAGCCGCGCTTCGTGCATGTACGGCCTTTCCGCTTGCTGTCATAACTCTTTCGCTCGTTTGTCCGAATCACTCTTGATAAGCGAAGTCGGCGCCAGGGGTGCAAGTTGCTGCTTCACCGGCTGTTCTGCCGCACATCTGTTTCAGCTGCCTCAACCCCCCCCTCACTCGGAGCGCGGGTCACTTGCCAGATAACATTTCGCGTCGGGCTCGGCTGCGGGTTGAGCAACCATTGATATTTATATTTTGCTTTTTACGCTTGTCAGGGGCATGTTATGCCATTTGTACTAATACACCCTTCTTTTCTATGTTTGACACCTATGATCCCAGGTTGTCTATTGGTCAGTATATGCAATAAAATGTATATTAGGCGCAAAATATTGCTTATTTTAAAATGGCTGCTCGATGGATACTCTCATTATATCCCTAGGCTTTCAGTTGAGTGCTAAATAGTGCTTTACACATACTATGTGAATCCTATTTTCTCCTCAATGATTTCTCCAATCATTTAGACTGCAGTACAATGTTAAGTAAAAAGAAACTTACCATTGTAGCACCTGACTCGCCGTCCCCACTTGCTGGGGCTGGTGGATGAGTTGGTTGGGACGCAGGCGCCTGGGATGCATTCACCTGAGGATTTGAAACACAGGCTAGTTAGGCTCGACAACTCATTTGATGCTTGTGCCCCACTCACGGCTAGCACTGCTATGACATACAGATCCACCTTCTGGCGGGTTTGAATCCTGACAGTGGTGCTCAGAATACAATTCAGGCTTATGTATTAGACCGTTTTACTGAAAGACAGCGAGAGAGAAAAGGGCAATAAGCTACCGGCGCTTTCCCCCTCTCTGGGTGTGTAGAAAGAGTGAAAGTCCCGGATGAGAGGCTTCGCCAGTGTTGGGTGTCTGCAGTGCCGGAACTTCGTTCGCGCTTTCTTCTCAGTTTTAAACTCTCAAACTTAATTAGAGCAACGGGCTTCGATGGCGACAGTCCCCCGGTCATCGGGACATCATTGCTCGGTGATAGGGTGCACGAATAACGACGGAAAGCGTTGAATACTGTCCGAGGACTTATGCACCTTGCAAGGAATCTGGCAAGGCGAGAGCGGCTGCAATGTCTTTAAGCTCCATCGCTAAGTTTTCACATGACCCCGGTCTCTGGTGGCAGTGGATTGCGTCCATAAACCGGAAAGACGTTTCCTCAACGTCATCCTTTCGACTGTGCTCGGAACATTTTGTGAATGGAGCGCGCACCGAAAGCTGTACCGCCGATGAACATGGGGTACACTCGAAAGGTGCGTGCGAGTTTTCTCGTGATAATTGCTGTTTCAGCTTGTAAAATTTTGTAACCAAATTTATCTTAATATTAACATTTCGCAGTGGTGACATTGGCTCGATTTTATTATCTACAACACTTAGTTGAAGGCTCATTTCCGCCGCCGGGTGTGGCTGGAAATTGTTGAAAAGTTAGTTCTATCGGTTTTCCTGAATCACAATCTCCTGCGCGATACCAGAGTGCCGGAAAAGGTGCTCCTTGGAATGCCCCTGGTGGGTTGTTTCCGTTGATTGGGCACTTTGAAGCGCTGGATATTCGCTGCAGGGTACGTCTTGTGTGTTACGATCTCCATTTTCGAATAACCGGTTTGAGTTGAGCTAGTAGGTACAAGTCTGTAAGAAACACCTTGAACACTAAACACTTACACATAGACAGGACAGGACATACACAGAGACGACTATCAACTATTTAATACTTATTCTTCCTCCACCTCCTCCTCTTCTTAGTCCCTTCGAGCATTCCCCGATTGCCATCCGTCCGTCCATCACGCTGCACAGCAAAGAAAAACAATAGCTACGGTGTGTTACGGCTTTGGGCCAGTTACTCGTGAGGACAGTCATGGGAAGAAGTTCTCAAAACATCCACGGGATACTGATGTCAGTGACTGGAAGTGGAAATGTATGGGGTTAGCTTGGGCATTTGCGGATAGTTTTTCAATTTTCATTCATGTAGTATAGGCTTTTCTTTTCGTCTATGGTTTATTTTTTATATATATACTCCTTATTATGCCTTGTTCTTTTTAAAAAATTCTAAAAAGTGCATCTTATCTCGCAATCGTGGAATTCTCGAAGGGACTAAGAAGAGGAGGAGGTGGAGGAAGAAGTATTAAATATTTGATAGTCAGCTCTGTGTATGTCCTGTCCTGTCTGTGTCTAAGTCTTTAGTTCTCAATCCGTTTTCGAGCCTAATGTGCACATTTCTTTTTTTTGAGTCATGGCATCCACCAGTGTGGCGACGGGGGGAACAGCGGCAGCGAACGTGCCAGCAATAGAAATTGGAGGCGAGTACTCAAAATATTGCATCAAATAGTAAAATAATTCGTGGCTGCTTTGAGGCTTTCTGCGGTTCGATATAAGTACATCTAGAACGTCTTCGTCGTTCATCCACAGGGAAATATAAGAAAACGGACACGCAAGATAAAAGCAGCGCAGCAAAACGATCTGTAGCAGCTCCGGGTGTTTACAAAAGTTAATAGAGCTTCCCGTGTCATGTATCGCTTGTTGATTACTAAACACGGCTACGTTGAAATAGGTACATTGCGAGGAAAATTGATAAACGGTTCATCAGTTCCAGTCATGCGGAAAGCGATGGAGCTTAAACACATTGCAGCCAAACTCGCCTTGCCAGATTCCATGCAAGCTACATAGGTCCTCGGACAGTATTCGACGCTATCTGTCGTTATTCGCACACTCTACCACCGAGCAATGGTGTCCCGATGACCGGGAGTTTGTCGCCATTGAAGCCCGTGACTAATTAAGTTTGAGAGTTTAAAACAGAGTTATAAAATTTAAAAGCGCTAACAAAGACGAGGACGAAAAAGGAAGGTCCTGTTCGTCCTCGTCTTTGTTAGCGCTTTTAAATTTTGTAAGTCATGAACCAACTCGCCCGCTTTGCCACTTTAGTTAAAACAAAGAAGCGCGAACAAAGTTCCGGCAATGCAGACACCCAGCACCGGCCAAGCTTCTCAGCCGGGACTTTCACTCTTTCTACACACCCAGAGAGGAGGAAAGCGCCAGTAGCCCTTTCCCCTTTTCTCTCTCGCTCTCAAAACGGCACTACTCACGATAAAACGGTCTATACCAGGGGTGGCCAAGCTGCGGTTCTTCGCGTGTTAAAGTGCGGCTCGCAGCTCCCTCCCATACAAACCCCCCCCCCTCCCCTCCGCCACCCTCCCGGTCACACGAGCACTTCCCCAAATAGAGAAATTGAACGCGTTTTAAAATGAAAGACAGGTTGAGGCTTGGTAGTCTTGTGCTACTGATACCTTACGTACAGTTGGACTGCTTTTGACTCGGGTGGGTTGTACGTAGTTCGAGCTTTGTTTAATGCTCTAAACAAAAGCAAGCCCCCCCGCGGCCCTTGGAAGTTTCGTGGTTTTGTTTGTGGCTCCTAGGCCGGGTCAACCTGGCCACCCCTGGTCTACACCAACAGGCTACACGATTCTATAAAAACGATCCCATTAGGCACAAAAGATTGCGCATTTTAGAATGTCTGCTCGATGGCTACTCTCATTATATCCTTGGACTTTCAAGTGAGTACTAAATAGTGCTTTAACATACTGTGTGAATCTTATTTTCTTCTCAATGATTTCTCCAATAGTCTGCAGTACAACGTTAACTGAAAAGAAATTTACCATCATAGCACGCGACTCACTCGCCTTCCCCACTTGTTGGTGCTGGTGGACGGTTTGGTTGGGACGCAGGAGCCTGGGATGCATTCACCTGCGGATTGGAAACATAGGCCAGTTGGGATTGACAACTCATTTGATGCTCGTGCCCCACTCAAAGCTAGCTCTGCTAGGACTTACAAACCTGCCTTTTGGCGGGTTTGAATCCTGAGAGTGGGGCTCGGAATACAATTGAGGTTTACGTATACCAACAGGATATGTGATTCTACGAAAATGATCCTATTAGACACAAAAGATTCATATTTTGGAATGCCTGCTCGATGGCTACTTCTCATCATATCCTTGGACTTTCATTTTAGTAACAAGCAGTGCTTTACTCATACAGTAAAATTAGATTCATTATACACTGCGGTAAACTTTTTGTTTAAATTACCCGGACGACTCAAATGAAAGAAACGAAAAATGAAAAAAAGAGCCCAATCCAATTCACTTTAAAGGGCAACTCCGGTCCATACTTTCGATTTTGGGATTATGACTGTTTTAAGTGCAGTCAGCGTCCCTGAATTGCAAGGTGTAATTTTTTTCTCGTTATTGTGCATAGTTTTAAAGGTATCGACGCCTTAAAGTTTTATTTGGGGCGCGGCCAACAAAACTGAAACTAGCCGCTCGAGGCTCCGGCAACACTGGAAATCAGCCGCTATGTGAACGTGACGTCAGGATCGTTCTCGTTCAACGAGTGCGAAGTCTGAATGGCACCTAGCTCTATTGCGCTAGCCGTCTAAAGATGGGAGGTAAGCTGACTTTGTTTTAATTCTGTATACGTGGTAGCTATCCAGCATATGCAGCAAGAGTTAGTGCATATACCTAAAAGCTAGCGACTGGAAAACCCGTGAACTCGTACGGTGCCGTACTCGGCGGCCACCGCCGTGTGTGTGCTATGCCGTATTCGTTGCTTGTATACCCGAAAGCTAGCGACTGGAAAACGAGTGAACTCGTTCGCTGCCGTAGTCGGAGGCTGTGGCCGTGTGTGCGGTCTTCCGTACTCGTCGCTAGGCCTAAATTGTCATCGGGGCTCCGTGGATGGTGCGGCGTTGCTCCATCCACGGAGCCGCGCTGCCAGTGATGTACAGTACTGGGGGCCCTCTCGCTTTTGCGCTGCGGGTCAGTTCCAGACGCGAAGCTTTGAGGCTCTCCGGCGCGGGCCGCGGCACCCGAACACACGTGTGCTGGGCTGTACACGTCTGTTTCTTTGTTCTTTTTTCCTCGGGCGCGTAAAAGCCGAAGTCCAAAGTCCACTCGTCGAACAGCGTTCACCCACACCTTCTACAGTTTCCGGTCCGTTGGAAACTTGTGAAAAAGCACGTCCGTGTTGCGCAGCGGGTTGTTTGAGCAGCCCACAGCGCTACAAGTTGCACTCGGCATCTTTCGAGGAACAGCTGGGCAGTCTTGGGCGCTCCGAGTTGCTCGCTAACACGAGTCTTAGAGTCCTCACAAGCAAATAAACAAAAGCTACACGGGCTACAGATAAAAGCAACGGCTAAACACGCCAATCATAAGCCGAAGAAGCGGTGGTAGCGACTCAATTTCTCTGACTGCACTTCCATTTCCGTCCACCAAGACCGTGACAAGCAAAAAGATTAAGGTTCTACCGTAGGCAGCCGAGTTGCAGCCGAGTTGCTTGTTTATTTTCCAAAGTACTTTTATGTGCCGCCATGCCATACTGGCCGAAATTGAGCACGTTAGCATTCAAAGCTTCAGTGATATGCAGAAAAGCCTCCCCTAGAGCTATCAAGATTTTTTTTAAGTTACATGTGCGATCCTCATGTACTATGACCTCAGATATGCGAATTCTCAAGGAGCACAAGCAACTACTTGCAAAGCAATCATGCAAGGAGTAAAGTTCAATACTCTGGAGGAGACCCACAGCTACAGCGATGAATGCGCAACTCTGGCTGCCTACAGTAGCTATGTACAAGAACTCAGAAAGACATAACACGGCAGCCCCTTTGTTCCCACATTAAGCACGTGAAGGGTACATAAGTAAACACACGTCTGAGACGCGTTCCAGGCACCACATTTAAAGACATCCGATCATGGGCCGTTAAATTGCGTGAAAGAGGATGGTGAACAGCAGCCGACATCTCATTTTCGACTTGAAGAACAGCGGAAATTGAAGCAGCAAAAGCAGCTGCAACAAACACGGATGTAAAAAAAAAATGAGGGTGGTGTTGCCATTGTTTCATGACTGTCGTAGCTTTTCTACTTTTCTCAGTTCATAAGATGGGAGTCAACTTTTTATAATGGAATTTTAAGAACACACTTAAGCCCATTCGGCTTTGTGGCACGCAGTCGCGGAACCGAAATCTCTTTTTTTCTTTCCTGATTTATAACTGTAACTACACATGCATGCATTCGCTCGGGTCTAATTATGCGATGCGGTGCCCTTGCACGTTCAAACTAAGGAGCTTTCTCCCTTCCAAAGAAATGTAAGCACGCTCATTGAGAATGCTGACAACTGATCAAATTAAATGAAAACTCGAAATAGCTACGGATGAATTAACAAACTTTTACTGTACTGTATGAATCCTATTTTCTCATCAATTATTTCTCCGATCGTTTATAGATTGAAATGTAACATTAACTGAAAAGCATCTAAAAGCATCTTACCATCACCGCACCAAGTTCGGCTTCGCCACTTTCCCGTGCTGGTAGAGGAGCTGCTGGCAGGGACACAGCAACCTGGGAAGCACTGTCGTATGATGCATTCACCTGAGGATTTGAAACACAAAGCATATGGGCTTGACAACTCATTTGATGCTGGTCTCCGAACTACAACTAGCCATATACGTTGCTCCGAGGCAAAAGCGCTGCCTACACATCCCTAGTTAGCTGGTTCGGATCCCGTCCAAAGTGAGTGCAATATGACTAAGGCTTAATGTGGAGAATTCAGGTGTAACTAAGATTTCGGTTACATACCAAAAGATCTCAAGGCGGTCTAAAGCAATTCCTGGTCCTTTAGTGTAGCATGCTGCATGCTTTTTAAATGCAAAGCATTTCTGAGCTAACCCTTTCCACTTTGCGCGTCGGTCGCCGGGTCGCTGTGGGTTCTGTCTGAAACCACTAATTAGCAAAAGGCACCAAAAAGCGTCTTTTGCACATTAAACGTCCGCACAGGCTCTTGAGAAAATAAAATATAGACAGACACCCTGTTTACAAACAAGCCTGCATCTACCCGCACCGGGTGTGGGCACTGCGGAAGCGCAGAAACCGGATTCGAGCGAGCTGAAGCTCCGGCGCATGCGCCGTGGCGACAACAGCACCACCACAGAGGCATGACGTCAGAGCCACGTGTTGGTCTATCAGAGAGGGAAAGCTAATTAACGGGTAGCACAGGAATCTGAAAAAAAATTCAAGCATTTTCTGCGCCTTCCTCGTGCTGTGCAAGCGTCGTCTGGTCGCCGTAGAGGCAAGCAGGCGAGTGTCAAGCAACAGTGTTAACAGAGAGCCACTCACATAATCTGATCACCTAACACTAAATCACATGATCTAAACTCACATGATTATGTGACACACATGATTATATGATCATTTAATCTTAGGTATTTAGCCAAACGTTGGGCCTAATCTTATGTGAGAACGTGTCCCGCGATCATGCACAACTAAGCACTGAGTCACGTTATCATGTAAGATTAGTCCTAATATCAGGACTAATCTGATTGAATCCCGGAGAAAAGCTCACCGGAGAAAAACTCACCGGAGAAAAGCTCACCGGAGATAAGCTACCGGAGAAAAGCTCACCGCAAAACCGCGCATGCGGAGAAAAGCTCACCCGCCATTGAGCGTATGCGGAAAAAAGCTTACCGATATTTTTTCTTCTTTTTATATGGAGGCTGTTGGATAATGCGTAACATATATCAATTTATAATCATTCAAATTCGTCAGCTTTGTAAAAAAGAAAATGTCCTTTTTGTAATATTTGTTAAGGTTATTAAGTATATTGCTCCCAAATTAATAATTGCGGGCGAGTGTTTTCTGTGACTTGCTCTCTAGGCAACAAAAGCCTAACTAAAAACTTTATGAACTTGAAGAACAGGAAAAAGTTGAAAAATTTAATGATGTCTGCCTAAAATCTTAAAAATCAAAGCTGTAACTGCCGAATATCCGAAAGTGCATGCGCAACAACGCGGTGCCTGAAATTCTCTTTGAAGCTTTTGTTAACCATTGAAAACAGGATAAAACAGTCAATAGGATATCGAGGCTTCTTTCTTCCACGGACATGCACGCTTTCTAGCCGTTCGTGCTGGTGTTTTCACACGTTCTCTTTGTGTGATACTGAGTGCCCTTCTACGGTGAGCCACCCATAACCTTCGGAGCTGCGCAATGGCACCGTTGTTACTCGTAACCTATAGTAGAAGTAGTCTTCTGTTATGCAGCGAATAGGGCGCATTGGTAAACGTTATACATGATGAAAACCGCTCAAACGACGACGACGGTGTGAAAAAAACAAACACGACAAGCGAAGCTGTTCTCGCAACTAAAGTTTTGTTCGTGAAATTAACAGAAAAAAAACAACGTAGCCGACACTGATTACATCAACAAATACCTTCTTATCTATTAGGCACTACACAATATTTGGAGCTGAACCGGTTCACGCACCGCTTTTCATTATAGCTCGCAAAGAACAAACCTCTTTATCTGACAGAGCTAGCGACAGCGCGCTGTCAGCTGTCAATAAATTGTTGCCTTTTTTTTTATCGGTGTACGATGTTTTGATTTTATGCTTGCGGCTTCATTAATTTATAGAATGGGTGATTACTAATTTCTGAGGAATTGGTAAATATGCCCAATGAACTTCAAGAATATTACAAAAAAGAACGTATTTTTAATGAAGTGACGAATGCGAATTGTGTTAAATTGCCACGTTCGACGCAGAATCAAGCTAAGCTAAAAAAAATATCGGTGAGCTTTTTTCCACATCCGCTCAAAGGCCGGTGAGCTTTTCTCCGCATCTGCCGGTTTTGCGGTGAGCTTTTCTCCGGTGAGCTTATCTCCGGTGAGTTTTTCTCCGGTGAGCTTTTCTCCGGTGAGCTTTTCTCCGCCGCCCAATCTGATTACAGGGCACAAAGTCACATAACCACAAACATCATAATTAGACATAGAATTTTATATTAGTTTTACATCAGTTACGGAGAAACATTAACGGAATAGAAGGCACTGTAAATTGCTGCACATTTTGACAGGAATCAGCGCAGCAATTTTGGCTGCAAATTTAATGGTTTGGTACGTAAATTTCCCAAATTACCTTTCTTATATTGCACTCGACTGTCATTGCACTTAGGATTGACCAGGCAGGGTCTAGTCCTGGTTCGTTGGCATCCCCCTGCCCTTCAAAGTCCACATAATAGAGAGGAGCAGTCTCCTCTGCTCCACCCTTCTGGCACTGGAAGCAATCTAGAGAAACCATTGTAGGAAAACAGCATTGAAAGAGAATGTAAGTAGTTGAAACATAAAAACTTATATTATAACCTTTCATGGCAGTAAATACAAAAAATGCTTTGAAAAAGTGAAAGCCGTTTACAAATCCCTGTAACGCCCAATTGGAGCACAGCTCTTGAGGAGGAGGAGTGAAGGGTACTGAGGGGAGGGTAGACCCCTCCCCCTTCTCCTCCTCCCCTCATTCTTTAATATGCTCCGGGGGGGTCACGTGACCTCGGGGGGGGGGAGGGGGTGTCACGTGACTTCGGGGAGGGGGTCACGTGACCTCGGGGAGGCGTGACCTGGGGGTCATTTGAAGGTCACGTGACCCCCAAGGTGACCCCCACGTGACCTTGGGGGTCACGTGACCTGGAGGGGTCACGTGACCTTAGAGGGGTCACATGACCTCAGAGAGGTCACGTGACCTGGGGGGTCACGTGGGGGTCACCTTGGTGTCACGTGACCTTGAAATGACCTTGGAAGGGTCACGTGACCTTGGGGGTCACGTGACCTTCAAAGGGTCACGTGGGGTCATCTTGGGGTCACGTGACCTTGAGATGACCTTGGAAGGGGTCACGTGACCTTGGGGGTCACGTGATCCCAAGATGACCCCACGTGACCCTCAAGGTCATGTGACCTTAGGGGTCACGTGACCTTCAGGGGTCACGTGACCTTGAGATGACCTTGGGAGGGGTCACGTGACCTTGGGGGTCACGTGACCTTGGGATGACCTTGGTTACGCCGACGCCGACGGCGACGGCGACGCCGCTCAAGCCGGGAACGGGCCCCTAAGAGCTGCGCTCTAAAACATGATGCCTGGGGCTTGGAACTCAAAATGATTATTTATTTGCGAATGAACTAGATGCAATAACTTACCTGCTTTCTTTATCTTTGTGCAGAGTGCCTCCTGGAGCTGCTCATTTAGTTTCTGGCACTGCTCCAGAGCTTTTGTTTTTTCGTGCAGCTTGCGTAGTACCTCCATGTACTTTTTGCGGGGCACGAGGTCATGGTTCTCATGCTCTATCTTTTGGAGCAGATCCAAATCTCTTTGGCGCTTGTTGACATCTTTGTCATTTGTCGCTTTCTTTTTTTTCTGTGCCGAGAAAGATATTAGAGAATGTTTTCAATGGTAACTTCCGTTTGTAGATTCGAAGTGACCCGGAAAGCTTCATGCTCACGGCTTTAAAGCAGTACATGCTAGCTCGCACTTGCACAAACAGAAAAATTAGAGGTCCAAAAGCGCTTGAAATTTACGGGCGAAATTTAACATAAGAAATACCATATTGAGGACATAAGGACCCTCTATTGCTGTTGTGCTAGGAAGGTCACAGATACAAAACAAAAGTGCAAGTTACAGAAATACCTTGAACAAAAAGTTAGTGCAAACCGGAGCTGGTGCTGTTTAACATTATTTGACAAAAAAACCCAGAGACTAGGACGAGACAATTTTTTTAAGCTACATGTGCAAGCTTCATGTACTACGACTTCAGCTGCGCGAATTCTCGCACACTGGCAAATCAATCATGCGAGGAGTAAACTTCAATGCTGTGAAGGAGAGCACAGCTATGGCTGTGAATGCGGTATTCTGGCTGCCCACAAGTTTTTGTACAGGAACTCATAAAGATTTAACACAGCAGCCCCTTCGTTACCACTTCGGGACCACATTAAACACGGGGGTATAGGAGTAAACACACATCCGAGACGCGTCCCGGGCACTATATTTAAAGAAGTCCCGGGCACTATATTTAAAGAAGTCCAATTATGGGCTGCTAAAGTGTGTGAAAGACGATGGCGAACAGCCGCCGACTTCTCATTTTTCACTCAAAGAACAGTGGAAATTGAAGCAGGAACAGCAGCTGCAACAAACACGGTCACAATGAAAAAAAAATGGCTGTGTTGTCAGTGTTTCACGACTGTCATAGCTTTTGATGCTACTCTCAGTACGTAAGGTGGGAGTCAACTTGATATAATTTTAAGAACACAGTTCAGCCCACTCGGTCTGGTGGCGTGCAGCCGTGGAGCCGTACTTCATTTCCTGCATTGATACTGTGCAACTACGCCGGCATGCATTCGCTGGAGTCTAATTATGCGATGCGGTGCCCTTGCATGTTCGAACTAAGAAGCTCTTTTTCCCCATAGAAATGTACGGGCGCTCACCGAGACTGTTGAATATTGATCAAATTAAATGAAAACTCAAAATGGCTGAGGTTGAGCTAACAAAAGTTTACTGTATTGTATTAATCCTATTTTCTTCTCAATAATTTCCCGAACGTTTAAACTGCAAAGCAAAATAATAATAATAAAAAAAAAAAACTGACCATTATTGAACGAGGCTTTTTGCGCGCCTCGGAGAAGTCTGCTGGCATTGCGCTACAGAGCGGCCTTTTCCGTGTTCGTTTCGCTACATCACGCAGTTCTTCTTCGGATTCTGCAATCGGTGAATCAAGGTATATTTGGTGTTGATGTGCACCACAATCAATTAGCTACTTGTAAAAAGAGGAGTCGGGGAAATCGTTCCACATACCTGCCATGTTGACAATCTGAGCGTGGTAGTAGCCGCCTTTCGTAGTCGTGTTGCCGCTCCAGAACACGTCATACAACAAGTCTGGATTAAAATCCTCACAGGTTACGGGGCAGAAGTCTTTTATATTTCGTGCGGAGACAACCGCTGTCGTGTTGTCGATCTCATAGCGCACCAACGCGAACATTTTAGACATAGCTTCAGTATTCGCGCGACGCCCTGACCCCTTACCTGCTTCAGTAAGGCTAGTTCTTACATAAGTATTTTCTTGATTTTGGCAGGGGGCGCTAGTTGTCTACAAATATTTAAACTAAAAAAATATTGTAAAGTGACGTTTTTTTGTTTTTTTTTACTTTTATCAATACCTATTTTCTAATCAAATGAGTATTATGATGTTATATTACCGACAGGATCGCGACCAGTGGGTCAATGACTTGGTGTTGCATAATAAACTGGAAACCGAAACCAAGAGAGAAAAAGACCCGGTTGATAAGAAAAGACGTCTTGGATTGTTAATAATGTTTAACTGTCGCTTCCATACACTAACTAGCTTCATTTATTTTCCAGCCTTTTCACCATTTATTGTGAGCAAAATTGCGCGTCGGCAGACGCCTGGTTTCGGTTTCCGGAAATAACTATCCAATCAGACTCGGCAAAGAGCATCCGAAGTTCAGCATCCGGTTAGTCTAGAGAAAACGAGATCTTCCGCTGTCTTCCCTGGTCTTCTTCCCTTATTCGTTTCGGGTATCGGCTGTCGCTACTGTTACCGCTAGCGAAGTCAAGCGCGACTTGATATAGTAACGTTCAGCGCGATGCCGCCAAGAGCGAAGAAAAGAAGGAAGGTATACATGGGGCCGGATCTGGCTTATGTGATACCTAAGCAAACAAAATCGAACCGAGCGGCGAGGGCCAAGCGTGCAGCAGAGCTCATCAACCTTTCACAAACGTCAGGGGACGGAGATAATTCGAGCCGGTGCTACGATCTCGACGACTCTGACCAGAGCTCTGACTCCAACGAGGATGAAATCTCTAACCAGAGCTCTGACTCCAACGAGGATGAAATCACGTCGGGCGTCACCAGCGATGAGCAAGCCACTTCTGATGGCGACAATGAATCCGACGACACGAGCGAACATGAAGAGCTTTTTCACGACTCATGCACCAGCGAAGATGGGCTGGCATCAGGTGACACGAGTGGAAGCAGCGAAACTGGCGAAACGGCGTCGAGTGGCGGTGGCGAATCTGAGCAAGGGGATCCCGACTTGACTACCAGCGGCGAAGATGAGTCAGACTTCAAAATTTTTGAAGAGCTGTGCAGTGGGCCCCCTATTCCTGGCCAAGACTCGACCCGAGGGCACGTTCTGTTGCTGATTTTGGCCTACGTTGTGTCCGCCGGCCTCTCATGGACGCAGACTGAGGGCCTGTTGAGGCTCGTAAACACTCTGTTCGGCGTTTTCGTGGCTCCAAAGTCAAAGTTTCTATTCCGGAAGGTGTGGAAGCAGAGTCAGCAAGCCATGGTGGATTTTCATTTTTTTTGCGACAGGTGCTCAAAACCGCTCATGGTTTGCAAGACGCCCCTACAAGACAAGAAGGCGAGGTGCTCACAGTGTAAGACTTTGTATGGAGCAGAAGAAATGGTATCAAACGGCACATTTTTTATCATTTTCAACTTGCGCAAACAATGTCATGACCTGGTTAAGAACTGCAGGAAGGCTCTGTGGGACAACCTCGAAAAGATCGCCCAGAGATCACGGGACATTTTCACTGACCTGGCTGACGGAGACCTTGTGAACCAAGCACGACAACAGTTTGGCTGCGCAATGGAAGATCTCACTGCTAGTTTCAGTACTGACGGATCTCCAGTATTCAAGACCAGCAAAAATTCCATGTGGCCCATTCATGTAATGCTCAATGAATTGCCCCCCATCCTCCGGTGGAAAAACCTCTTGCTTGGTGGAATCTGGTTTGGCAAGAAAAAGCCAGTCATGTCACTCTTTCTTGACGGGTTTGTGGAACAATTTCGCAGAATCGGCGCAATCAAATGGGTTTGCCACAAGAACGGACGGGCTCTTGAATCCAAAGTCTATGCGGTGTGTTGCATCGCGGATGCTCCTGCCAGAGCAGCAGTGCTAAACCGCAAGCAATTCAATGGCTACTACGGCTGTCCGTGGTGCTACCACAAAGGAACTCTGGTTGATGGTGAGTATAATATTCACAGCAATGGTTCCTTGTCCTTCAAATCATAGACCGTTATCTCCGGACACCATGGTTCAGTTTAAATCTACTGTGAGACAATATATAGTGCTGCCCAGCTCAGAAAGCTTTATACCACTGGCAAAATAATTGCAGTAGTTTCAAATTAAATGGATGTTGCTCGTTGCTCCGGCGTACCTCTAATCTGTTGATGCTCGGTATGAGGTCAAAGTCGGTGAATTGTTGAACTTGGCAAACAGCGAAAGCTATGGACCTGAAGCAAACTAATTGGAGTATTGGAGCAAGGCTTAATTGTGACAATGTACCATAACAGTGTTCTTGAGCTTTTCAGAGCTGCTTTTGTTATAGACGCTTTCAGCACGCGCCGGATTGAACCGCCATAGCCGACCTTCTCTTGTCTTACCGAGATGCCGAGCCACTGAAGCGGGCCTTGACGGGCCTCCACAAAGGCGTATTCTACGGAGTAGAACACAGCTACGTCTAAAATGGCAATAACCTCTCCTGCTGCAGCAATGATGAAGTGGAGCGAACGGAATAAGAGGGAACAAAAACTGAAGGTTGGTTATGGCGGCGCCCATGCACAGCTGCCTGAAAGCGTCTATATCTCAGTGAGATGGGGAAATAAATGTCATTTTAAAGGGGCCCTGCAATCATATTTAAGCGTCTACCTTTTTTGCGGTTTCCACGTCCCTCAGAGCTCAGGCAAGCCAGCGGGCACGGAGAGAGTAGCTAAATATCAGTGCATCATATTTTAACCGGACGGCGCGGAAACCTCCCCCACCGACGGAGGCGACCCGCGGTACCGAAAGCGCGCGATATTTGACGTCTTAGGTCCTGGGCTTACTACTGGTCAGAGCAGCTAAAAGCTTCTTTTTAGTAGAAATCCAAAATATAAGTGGTGCGAACCGTTTCAATTATTTATAAAATTAGTTTTTTGTTCAGTAGTTTAGATCAGAAAAGAAACGAATGCAGTTTATAAAGTACGGAAACAAGAAATGACCCGTCGACATACCCGCCACCAAGCGACGGAAAAGGCGGCGCATACTAGAAAGGAGTAGTGGCATCAGGTGCCGGCACGGGAAGATCACGGATGTACGCGGCGGCGCTGCGGTCGTTTACGAACTGGAGAATCCGACCGGCTCCGAGCGTTCCGAAGGCCTTCGGCGAGCTGCTTTGTTTTGCGGTTTGACCGTTTCGCGGTATGGCAGCGCGAAGTGGCTCCCATTTGAACAGATCTTTACCCCGTCTTTGCTGTCGTTTGTGGCCAATGAAGTGTCATGCCGAATTAGTGTTTAATCGCGCAGCAAATGCAATGAGAGCCGTTCTGGCTGCCTGCTGCATACAGCCTATCCAGAATATGCTCTAGTGGCGCCCTCTCGCGCCGGCGACACGGAGTGGGGCAGCCGTGAGCGCTCGCCATGAGCCCACTACCCCTCCCCTAGTTCACGGCCAGTCAAGCAACCAAGGACGTCATGAGAGAGGTTATTTTTTGCTTGTTTTTGTAATTTTAATTTGCCTATAACTTTTAAACTAAAGCGAATTTCGAGAAAAGAAAAGTTGCACTACGTTACTACGTTCAGTGCGCTCAGGTTCGGTGCAAATTAAAAACCAGTAAAAAGTTCTTGCAGGGCCCCTTTAATTGAATGTCATTTCACCGCTTGTTAAATCACCTTGTGATCCTGGTTCTGCATGTCGTGTGTGCATGCGCAGCGTGCCATATTAAAGATGCGGATTGGCCAAGCTGTAATATGTCATTTTGCCTAAATGTCATTTAACGTGCCGTCTGAAAGGGGAATTAGCTTTCTTTTGTTTAGCAACTTGGCTTGGGTCGTTCTGTCGTGGAACTCAGCCATGGGACGAGCTGTAAGAGCATCGTCCAGTAATGTCGCAAACGCACATGTCAAAGAAAGTCGTTTTAGCTCTACTGCTAAAATTCCCATTGATTTGCCATCTTGCTGGAAACAAGGGTTACATTTTAACCTTTCTGTGATGACTGTCATCATGTCAGGGGCCTAGCTCCCAAAATGGCTGCTCTATATTCATCCGTGTTGGTGTTTTTACCACCTTCATGCCCAATTACAGAAACCTAAAAAAAATGTGAAGTTATGTACGACATAATGCAGAGGTAGTCTGCATGGTGTTTATTTGTGCTTAATGTAAAATAGGACAGCAGATCTATCTAACGAGGCAGAATATCACTTTTCACAAGACTGCGACCACGGCTCTGCTATTGAGTGACACCTTCCGCGGAGCATCGAAGCCGCCCAGCATAACAAAAACGAAGGGAAGGACGATGAATCAAAAATGGCCCTATAATCTCAGATTTACATCGAGTACTGGTTGTGATAGTGTGTAATCATTCATTGTCTCACAACATTTGCATCTTTCTTCTTTCTAGGCACTCTGAAGTACCCCTACAGTTCCAGTGTGACGGAAAGGACGCACAGAGGTGTGCTGCAGGACGTGAAAGCGGCTGTGATGACAGGCACCACGAAGCACGGCATGTACGGACCGAGCCCCATTGCAAGACTTCAAGGTTTTGATTTGGTTTGGGGCATAGTGCCCGATTACATGCATTGTGTACTTGAAGGTGTTGCGAAACAACTGACAGAGTTGTGGTTTACAAGCACAGGCGCACCTTTTTACATCGGAAACCAGATGGCTGCTGTAGACCGTAGACTGGCAATGATCCGTCCCCCAAATCTTTTCGCTAGGGCCACACGATCGGTTAGAGAAAGAGCTCTATGGAAGGCCAAAGAGTGGAGGTACTGGATGGTGTACTATGCTATGCCTTGCCTTCATAGCATACTGCCACACCACTACCTTGCACACTTCACACATTTGTGTCAGGCAGTGTTTCTGCTGTTACAGAAAAGCGTCCACAGGGATGACATCCAAGCTGCTGAAGGGCTTTTGGCACGTTTTCTCCAACAAGTGTCTGCCCTTTATGGTCAAGGTGCAGAAACCTCTAACATGCATCTACTTATGCATTTGCCCAAAAGTGTTATGCAGCTTGGCCCTCTGTGGGCTTTATCCATGTTCCCATTCGAAAGTGCAAATGGGGCACTTCTGCGCCTTGTAACCGCTGCTAAAGGCGTTCCTCTTCAGGTTGCTGAGAGGTGGGCTATGAAGCACGCACTGGCACGATTTGGTGAAATGACCAATCTCCCAGCTAACTTTGACCAACTCTTTCGCATGTTTCTCAACATTCAGAATGATTCCGAGGACGGTGTCCTGGGTGTTCCGCAGGAAGTGTCGTTAACAGCTGCTGTGCATAGCCTTCTTGAATGCCATTTTGGCCAGGTACCTACTCTTGAAAGACATCTAAGAACAAGAGTAGTGGGGTTCGAAATCCACAGTCGTGAGTACACGCGCCCTAAGAAGACATGCACACAATTTGTAAAAATGCGAGATGGTACGTATTGTGAAATTCAGGCCATCTACAAGACTGTAAGGACTGGTGAAATTTTTTTAGTCTGTAAGAGCCTGATTCTTGAAGATTTTGGAACTGGTAGCGTGAAGTACCTACATAAGTGTATTGTGCCCCCTAATGAGGAGAATTTAGTTCTCTTCTCCTCTGACCAGATTGAGTGCATCTGTGTTTTCATTGAACTTGAAGATGAATCTTATTTGTGCGACATGCCCAACTTTTATGAGAAAAAATAATTTTGGGGGAAAGGGGGAAGGGCTTGGAATTCATTTGTGCTTGCTACTGTAAAGGCTGGAAGCCTCGGAGGGACAGCCGGCATTTCACTGAGACTTGGCTTCATCACAAGCCGTGCCCGTGCCACACGGGCAACTCTAACGCCATTTACAACGAATGACATTTGAGCGGACGGCCAATCAGCGCGCGACACTCCGGGCATGGCACATTCCACGCGCGACAGATTGCGAGCTGATTCGCCGATCACACAAATGTCATTCGTTGTGAATGGCATTCGAGTTGCCCGTGTGGCACGGGTATAAGCCTGTCGGTGAAATGGGGGCCAGTCTAAAGCTTTCAGGTGGTTGCTTTCTGAATTCTTGCTACTGGCTTTGACCATGCTCATGCTCTGTGTGAACTCCATGCTGCACTTTAATAAGTGAGCAGCGTTCAGTGTTTCTGCTAGCATTGTACCAGCGAGCTCTTATATTGCTACGGTTCTTGAGTTTCCTTGAAGTTTTTCAGTGAATGTGTCGGTGCATTTCATGTACCTTGATTTTGTTAAACTTGTCAAATAAAACTGACTGACATATGCACACACATTGATTCAGACTTGTGCCTATTACTTCAAATATGTAGTGAATTACTAATTTACATTAAAAGTAAATTGTTACAATTCCTGGTTGTAAACAATAATTGATTACTTACATTGTTACTTGACTGGATTAGTTTTTGTTACTTTAAGATAGACACACAAAGCCATAATTTTTGCTTAGTATTTTAAGCACTAAAGATGTTGAATTAGAAGTTGCATACAAATACGACTGGCAGGCTACAGTTTGTCTTATTTTAACAAACTTCTGTGAGTTGCTTGTAATTGTTTGACGGGTGTGTTTGAAGGCCCCACAGACATTTAAAGAAACCTCTTAGAACTTTCTAAAGGGCATTTCAAACCCTTTAAGAAAGATTCTGACGTGGCCCAGAACGCATCAAGGAATCTTAAAGGGTTCTTCAAACCTTTTAAGAAATCTTTGTGGTCCCCCTTAGACCTTTCAAAAGGTTTTGACGGGCCCATTAGACTTTCTTAAAGGGTACGTCACACCCATCAAAACGTTTTGATGGGCCCTTTAGACTCCCTTAAAGGGTACTTCAAACCTGTTAAAAATTCTTGAAGGCCCCCTCAAACCCTTTAAAAAGTTTTGAAGGACCCTTTAGACTTATTTTCAATAGGGGCGTTGGCAGAGTCCGTCATCCAGCTGCGCCTTGCGAAGCTCCTCGCGGCTCACCAAAGTACCCCACCGTGAATATGGGGATCCTCGTGTCGTGGCCGCGATGGTCACCAAGCCATGGGTATTCTGCGAGTGTTCCTCGGGAAGTGGAGCACGAGAAAGCGCATCAGCAACTTTGTTAGTTGACCCCGGGTGGTACACAATGGAGTAGTCGTACTGTTGTAGCGTAAGCGCCCAACGAGCAAGACGTCCAGCTGGATTCTTAAGCCCCCTTAGCCATGATAGCGCTAAGTGATCAGATTGAATCTGGAACGTTGCGCCATCTAGGTACATATCGAAGCGCTTCAAAGCATGAATAATGGCGAGACATTCACGTTCTGCGACACTGTAGTTGCGCTCGGCTGGAGTTAGCGTGTGGCTCGTGAAAGCAACTGGCCGAACCACACCGCCATACTCCTGCAGCAAGACAGCACCCAGGCCACAGTCGCTTGCATCTGTCTGCAGAACGAACGGCTTGTTCAAGTCTGGGAGCCGTAAACAAGCGTTGTCAGTCACGGCTCTTGAAAGGGCTGCGAATGCGCATTGTTGTTGTATCGGCCCAACACCACTTGACGCCTTTTTTTAGAAGGTGATTGAGCGGTTGCGATATCTCGGAACAGTGTGGAATGAAATCCCTGTAGAACGCAATCATTCCGAGGTATCTTTGTAGGCTCTTTACGTCATGTGGGCTTGGGTATTCCGTTAGCGCGCGCAACTTATCTTCCTTGGGGCGGAGCGTGCCGTTATCCACAACGAATCCAAGGAGGTTAATCTTGGGCGCGGCTAACTGAACCTTTCCGGGATGAATCGTGAGCCCAGCATTACGCATTCGCTCAAGTACAATGCGAAGGTGCTCGACATGCTCTTCGATAGTTCTCGAGAAAACAACCACGTCATCCATGTATGCCATGGCAAATTCGTACTTCGAGTTCCCAAGTACAACATCCATCAGGCGTTGAAAACTGGCTGGTGAGTTAGACAAGCCAAACGGCAGTCGGGTGAACTCGAACAACCCTCTGTGGCAGATGAAAGCCGTTTTTGGAACGTCTGATGGGTGAATCTCGATCTGAAGGAACCCGCGACTGCAATCCAGCGTTGTAAACACGGTCGCGTTACCGAGCGCGTACATCACGGAGGAAATGCTGGGGAAAGGGTAGCTGTCTCGTACAGACACATCGTTAAGCCGCCTGTAATCCACACAGAGTCTGGCTGTTCCGTCTTTTTTCGGGGCGAGAACAACGAGGAATGCCCAGGGGCTCTTCGACTCACGTACTGAACCGGTGTCGATCATTTCCTCGAGCGCCGCATCAAGGAGCGCCCTTTTGTGGACGCTGATCGGTCGAGGGTTGCACCTCCGAGGCGGCGCGTCACCGGTTTCAATACGGTGCAGCAGAATGTCAGTCTTTCCAGGTGTTTCCGTGAACATCGGTGAGAAAGACTCCAGGACGGCTTGCAGCTCCTGCTTCTGCTGGCTGCTTGCGGGGCACTTTCGCAACGATTCTCGAACGCCGGCAGGCAAGACGTCTGGCACCGTGGTGAAGTGGGGTGCAGTGGTCGAGTTAGGGATGCAGACCTCCCTTTTGGTAAACGGAGTCAGCTCCGGTTGTTGTCCCAGCCGGTATCCACCACCAGAAAAGTCGAGTGTCATGCTTTCGCCTGTAATGAAATCTCGGCCCAAGATCACAGGTACCACAAGTCCTGGCATATAAACAAATCGCTGACGTCGCTTCTTTCCATTAAACCGAATCTGCAGCCTCACGGCTCCTCCAGCTGTTATCGCTGTACCAGAAGCTAGCTGCAAACGGGTTCTGCACTCCCGGAGGCTTATCTTTTTTGCTTTGCAGAGTTCGAAAACTAAATCCTCTATGAGCGAGATCGCGGCCCCAGAACCCAAAAGTGCGGCAATGGGAAAATCGAGCAGTGATATTGTCATGCGCGGTTCAATGATGTTAGGCTCGGGCTGGATTCGACATACCGATGGAATCTGGGCAGCGGCCTCACCGCTCCCAGGGACTGCACCGGCCGTCGGCGAGTGGCTGTCTGGTTTCAGTGTCGCCTGCCGTAGTAGTTTCCCTGGTTGTTTTGGTTCCGGCCCTTTGCCGCCGTCTCGTGCCACCTCTTGTTTGTAGTGTCCAGAAGCCTTGGACACTGCTTTCGGTGATGGCCGGGCTGCTCGCACACGTAGCAGAAGTCCGACGACAGTTGCCCGCTTAGGCCACCCGCACCGAGGTACCCGAAGCACCGCCTCCAGTGATCGGATAAGGAACCACTATGGGAGGGCCTCCACCAGGCTTGCGACTGGCTGTTGTGGGGAGGGCTTGTTCCGTTGCGGCGGGGGTCAATGCTGCTGGGCTGCGGGTTTGCGACCGCACCGTGCCAGTTTTCGCCAGAACTTGCAGGAGCAGTCTGATGAAGATGGTTCGCTTGAGTGGTGATCTCCGTTGGGCCCCAGCTTACGATAGGGCGCGGCCAACGACCTCCCACCTGTCGTGGCGACCCTTGCCCGAAACCCTCACGGGCCTCGCTGTGACATCCGGGCACCTCTCGGGGAGAGTTAGGCGAACATACGCTTATCCCGCACGGGATATCACCATGCATGCCACGCCAACTCTCCTGGTTGACGTGGTGGGGAAGGGAGGTTTCGTTCGCACAGTCCACTTGCGTGGAGGCCTCGGGGCCCCGCCATGCGCATGCCGGTTCGAGCGCGTACTTGGCTGGTGGCGGCGGCACGTAGTTCCGCTCGGCATGACGAGCTTCCTCGATGAGGCGCGCGCCCCGGGCTAGCTCTTCAAGGGTCTCAAAAGTGCGGTTGATCAGGTAGACGTGGTACCTTGGGTGACACTGTCCTCAGATCCGAGCTACTCTGTCCGACCCCGGTGACTTCGGGTCCGCCCTCTTGAAGAGCTCTTGCATGACCCGAACGTACCGGACCAGACTTTCATCCGGGTGCTGCGTCCTTGCCTCGAGCTCTCGGAGAATCTGCGTCGCGTAGCCTGCAGGCAGGAACTCTTCGCGAAGCCGTGTCTGGAAGTCCGCCAGGCTGGTGAAGGGGGCCTGTGACCCCAACCACCACCTGGCGCTGGCTTGCAACGCCAGCGGGACACTCCGCTCCACGATGAAGGCTTCCGAGGCACCGGAGGCAAGGTGGTACGTATGCAGCTCGCCCAGGAAGTCTGCCACGGACTTGACGTCGTCATACCCCATGTGGACCGGAACAGTCAAGTGTGGTCGGGGCTCTCGTGGTGGGGTCTCCTGCTGGCCAGGCGTGTGGACCAGGCGCTTCATCACGGAGTCGCACATCTCCGCGACCTTCGTGAGCAGGTTCATTTGTGCCGCGGCGGCCATCGCGGCTTCCTGCTCCAGTTTGAGCATGCCTGCGAGTACAAAAAAAGAAACGCCCCCAAAAACCCAACACAAGCGCAAAACGATTGCCGCGGTCACAAAAACAGTCAAAAACACGCCAATACGACAAACGCGGACGTGACGGAAGCACGGAACGACGATAGGAAACACGTGGTATGGGAAAAAAGCTTACCGAAAGAAGAAACCAAGCCCCGTGAAATTCCTGCGAGTGGGTAGCATACCACGGTTGGGCGCCATTGTGGTCGGTTTGCCTTGCTGCATACCCGACCCGGAGGAATAACACGGAGCCAACGGTTTCAAGAACAAGAAACTACATTTATTTGGACATGGACAAGACGATTAACATTGATACCGGTGCTGCCGGAGTCCAGGCAGCGACTCCATAGAGTAATCTACACAAGGTAAAGAGCGGACACTCCCATAGGCCCCAGCGGCCCATTTAGCTGGCAGGGAGCGCACCCAGCGGCCGTCGTAGTCCCCAACTGAATGAATGGAGTCACAATAAAAATACTTTCCGGATGGATAGATATATAGTTTGGCGTAGTGTATTGGGCGGTAGCCTGCGCCATCTGGTTTGCCGCGAGTTATGTTTTTCCTACTATTCCCGCATGGTAAATTTCGGCTGTAATTACTTCACACGTATGTACGATTCCTAATGCGGACAACTAATGGACAATACTATATACAGTTAACACTGACTTTACAAGCCAGGAAACCCATGTAGGTTTGTGCTGTCCAGAAGAACACACCAGGGAGTAATCAACACAGTTTATTTTCGCAAAAAAAATATGGTGGGCAGTTTGTGCCTCGTATATAATTACCAAAACTACAAAACATAAGCACCGTGCATCAAGGATTCACAAACAATGCATCCTACAAAAAAATGACAAGCATATTATGGCATGCATGAAAATCTTATCAAACAACTGGAATTACAATGTTACAACTGCAATTGGATTGCAAGCCTGTTTTGTGTTCTCA